CGAAGAAGCCATAGCAACACAACCCCTGTCATTCCCCTCAAGTCACATTCTGCCAGTGGTTCTCAGCCAAAGGTCAGGTCCAGGGAGAAGACACCAGTATCATGAAAGAACTTTTTCAGAACCACCTAAGAAAACAATTTAAAAATAAAAGAACAGTCAAGGAAACAGCCTATGCCTTACACAGGAAGAGGAGGCATGAATTCCAAGTACAAGTAACACAAGACATCCAACACCATGGTTCATATTACAGTAAACAGAGTGACATTTTCCAAAAGTAGAAAATCAATAGAGGGAGCTGGCCAACAAAGATCAAACTGCAGCAAATAACTGAAAAGTGGGAACACTGAAATCTAGATATGCAGAGAGGCAATTAGCAAAGGCCAACTTATCAACCTAAGTGAGGAAAGCGGCTATCACCAAAAGGATGAAGTGTCCCAGAGGAAAGGACGCCAGCAAAAGTCTTCCCATCAAAGAATTCTGACATTCTTTCTAACATGGAAAGCACAGGATAAAATGTTGGAAGTGGACCCGAAGCTGTGTGACACTTTGCCGAGGCATAACAAAGATGCTAGTTCTATGTAAGTTATGTGACTAGAAGATAAGCACTGTTTGGGGCACCTACGGGGCTCAGTCCATTAAGTCTCCAACTTCCACCTAGGTGACAATCTCGCCGTTCCCAGTTGGAGCCCCGTATCTGGCTCTGTCTGTGCTGACAGCCCAGAGCCTGGAGCCTGCTTCAGATTCTGTGTCTCCTCCCCCCACTCACACTCTGTCTCTCTCAAAGATAAATAAATGCTAAAAAAAATTTAAAAGAAAGAAGATAAGCACTGTTCAAATTCCTTCTGACACACTTTCACAAAGAAACTCTGTGTCTCTCATGTTGTAAATTACAGTTAAATATCAGCCTTACTATTTTTTTCATTTCCTTACACATTTACATCAACAGCAAGAGTCTGTCATTTAACAGTGACAAGAGTTTTTAGAGGTCATTAAATAATCATACCTTTTCTCATCAGTTCTCAAGGCTACTTTGATAACCCAGGCAACCACCCAAAGGACTGCCTTTACTTCACACTGCACAGTGCCCACACTTGCCAAGCTTCTTTTCCCTGAACCGAGGACTGGTTCACAGTAACAGTAACGACAGCAGGATGTTTTGGGTGTCTCATTCAAGTAACAAGCCAGATGAATTCATGAACTACAAGGACCGTGAAATCGTTAAGTACTGAAGGGGAGAGAAGAGGCAGGCAGGAAAAGAGACGTAATACAGGGTGCGGTATTTATTTAAAAAAAAAAAAAAGTACTTTTTGTATCTTAAAAAAAACCTAGAGAAAAAGTAATGCTATTATCAAAATTATTTTGTATTATCTTGGGAAATTTCAATAGTCCTTTTTTCATGAACAGATCATATTTTTATAGTTTTAATCAGGCATGAGCAGATATATCTACGTGCAGTCTTGTATTTTTTTCTTTTACAAGTATTTTCCATGTTATAGCACACACTCTTCACCAGCACTGTTGTTAATGGCCCATGAATCGCTCATGAAATGCATCTATTACCGTTTACCTAACCACTTCTCTCTTGTGTCACGTTTAAGTGGCTTTCTATTTCTTCACTGAATTAAAATGTTATGAACATCTTTAGGTTGCTAATACTTGGTTCCAACTGCTTTCCTAAAAGTATGAATCGGTCACTGTGCTCTGAGGTTTTTTTCCTTCTCAACAGCCTACTCTGCTCCAAATGAACACTAACATCCCAGGGGCTCTTCCCTTCCACTCTACGACCCTTCAATCCTCTTCATGAAGCTTTAGGAAGCAAGTATTTAAATGACTGCTACATGTCAGGCTCTGTACTGCGTATCTAACATTCTCTCATTCAATACTTAGAACCTGAGCTTCAAGACCGGCAATCATTTACACCTATCTCTCATTCATTCTTTCAGTAAGTAAGACTGAGTACCTACAAAATGCCAGGCCCTGGCAGCACAGCGACAAGCAAAACACAACTCCCCCAGGAGCACCTAGCCTACCTCAAAGATACTCCCAACCTGAGCAGGGGTGGGGGGGTGGGGGGAGGCCATTCCACTGCTGAACTACTTTGATAATAGAACTTTCTAATGACTTCCATTATGCTTCAAATGAAATCCAAAGTCCTGGGGCACCTGGGTGGCTCAGACAGTTAAGCATCTGACTCTTGATCTGAGCTCATGGTTCCAGAGTTTGAGCACCACAGTGGACTCCCAGCCCATGACTCAGAGCCAGCATGGGATCCTCTCTCTCCCTCTCTTTCTGCCTCTCTCATGCTCGTGCTCTTTCTCTCAAAATAAATAAACATTTAAAAAAAGAAGAGAAAAATCCAAATTCCTTTCCATGGCCCACAAAGACTCACCTCTGATACACGACCCCCTGCCACACTACCCTTACCCACTAGGCCTTAGCCACCACTTTACCATCCTCAATTCCTTCCACCTGAGGGTTTTCGTTCACACTGCTCCCTTTCAATTTTCTCCTCTGCTCCTGGAAGTGTCTTTCCCTTTCCTACCTTTCATGTCTTAGCTTGATGTTACCTCCTCGGGGGCTTTCTTGGTCATTCCAAGAATCTCAAGAAGGTTCTCCAATATTGTTCTATCTCCAGCCCACCTCAGTTCATTTTTTAAACGGTACTTATGAGTTTGGTTGGTTCACCACCATACCTCCAAGGGCTAGTGTCCAGAGTGCCTGGTGGACAGAACACATGGCCGATAAACTGTGTGTGCTTAATAAAATCATTCCTCTTTAGCTGGAATGAAATCTAACCTCCTCGAAACTTCTACTTATTGATCCTAATTATGCCTTCTGTAACTGCGGTGAAAAAAAAAGTATCTTTTGGCCTTTGTATCCTATTTTAATAAATTTCAAAACTACCATTCATTTGTTAACTCTGGCACTCACCTGTTTTTAGCAATGGCTAGCTACTGCTGCTGACTTCAGGGAGAGTATCAAGGAGTGTTTGTGAGCATGAAATCCCATGTTACGCTGCCTGGTTGGAATCTGAGCTCTGACACTTACACACATGAAACAGATATCACTTGTGTGACTCTGGAGAAGTTACCTAACCTCTCTGTACCTCAGTTCCTCATTTGGAAAACTAAGATGAGACTTAACTGATTGTCATGGGAATGCAACCTGGTGCAGGCACTCTGGAAAACAGTATGGAGGTTCCTCAAAAAGCTAAACATAGAACTACCCTACAACCCAGCAATGGCACTACTAGGTATTATCCAAGGGATACAGGTGTGCTGTTTAGAAGGGACACGTGCACCCCAATGTTTATAGCAGTGTTACCAACAATAGCCAAAGTATGGAAAGAGCCCACATGTCCATCAATGGATGAATGGATAAAGAAGATGTGGTATATAGACAATGGAGTATTACTTGGCAATCAAAAAGAATGAAACCTTGCCATTTGCAACTAAGTGGATGCGACTGGAGAGTATTATGCTAACTGAAATTAGTCACTCAGAGAAAGACAAATATCATATGACTTCACTCATATGAGGACTTTAAGAGACAAAACAGATGAACATAAGGGAAGGGAAACAAAAATAATATAAAAACAGGGAGGGGGACAAAACATAAGAGACTCATAAATATGGAGAACAAACTGAGGGTTACTGGAGGGGGTGTGGGAGGGGGATGGGCTAAATGGGTAAGGGGCACTAAGGAATCTACTCCTGAAATCATTGTTGCACTATATGCTAATTTGGGTGTAAATTTTAAAAAATAAAATTAAAAATAATTTTTAAAAATAAAAATAAATAAATAAAAAAGACTTAACTGATTGTCAGAACTTGAAAAATCAATGTATGTAAAGAGCTTACCCCAGTTCCCAGCAAAGGAATCTTAATTGTCAAAGCTACTACTTTTATCTCACTAGAGTGGAAAACTTCAAAATGGTGTATTTCTTTGTATCCTTAAAACCTAGTTTACACAAGTCTCAATAGACTTAGATTTAAAACATGATCCCACAAGTGAGGCTAAGGCACTCCCTTGCACATCCTCCGTAACACTATGAAACCAGCCCTCAGATCATTGCCGTTTTTCCTAACAGTCATTTTACTATTCTGTCTCCACCACCTGACCCACGTGAGGTCTGTCTTGTTCACCATATTATCCCTAACACCTGCAACAACAAACAATAATTAAATGAAATTCTACTGAGCCTCCATTACCCCAGTGGAAGCTTTTTCAAAGGTTGTGTTTTGTGTTTGTTTTTTGTTTTTTACTGTTTCTTCCTACTCTTCCACAATGAAAACACACACAAGCAGCCAATCTGTCTTGTTCACTGCTGTATCCGGTATCCCTACTGGACCTGCCGTAACAGAGACTTCAAAATATTACAGACGTTTTGGTTCTTGGGTTGTTTTTGATGTTCAAACCTGTTAATTCTGGTAGGTTTCTACACACTACTATCTTATTGGCTCCGTAATTATTTACACTTATCAATATACCCAAAGCCTACAAGAACACTTTAAATAAACAGATTAATTACATATTGAATGAACAGGTCATTTTATGAGAGTGAAAACAAATACAGGTAAATAAAAAACATAGTCCTGGACAGGAAGAATCTGAGCGATGCAAGCGTTTTTGTTTCGTTGTGGGTATTTTTTTTTGGCGGGGGGCGGGCGAATTGTTGTTACATATACTTAATTCCCAAGTTCTCCAGAATGTGGTCACACTATATAATTTCAACTTCTTTTTTCTTTCCATTTTGAGGAAAACTGTCAAGCACCCCACCCCCGTGTCCTTCTGTTTTCCAGGTAGGAAAGGCACAGCCTTGACACGAGGCCCGGCGGTGGCCCAGGAAACCGGCGTTCCCTCCGGGACCTGCCAGATGACCACTGACCTGAAGACGGGTCAACGCGCGAAACCGGAAGTGCCAGGGGACAAAAACTACTACGGGCTCCACTGCGCGACTCTGGCACCCCGAGCGCCCCACCCTACCGTCCAGCACTCACCACCAGCGAAGCCATGAACCCAGGCCGCTCCATGGCCCCGCAGACACCGCAAAGGCTATACTTCGAGACTGAGCAGAAGCGGATCGCGACCCCATTCACTGGGTGCCGCCATCTTGGGGGCGGACTTGCAGCGCCGGCACTTCCGCGGCCACGTGAGATTGAGCCAAAACAACTACACGTGCAACCGAGAAAGCTGGGCCAGAAGGTGCGCCTGGAGGGAGGGGAGGGGTCTGGGGAGGCATGCGGTCTAGCCAAGTCTCGCGACTCTTCTCTGCTTCCGTTTCCTGCAGCAGCCTTGTGATTCGGCTAGATGAAGAAACTCTCGCGAGCAAATGAAGCTGGGCGGGATCCTGGAACTGAGAGTCGCCGGGTGAAGGCTGGGGAAAGCTAGAGTTAGCCCCAAAGAGGCGCGGCTTGGTGGAAGGCGGGGCAATGAAGGGGCGGGACTAGCTTAAGGGACGAGGCTTTTAGTTTCCAGTTCTTTTTAATTTTTCTCTTAGCTCAGTTTGAACCAATTTTGTCTGAATTTGTATAAAACAGACTCAATTTCAGACGATTATTAAAGATATAGAAAAAGGCTTTAAAAGGTTCCTTACTCCAGGTAAAAATTAGCATCCTCCACCTCTTACAGTTACTGCATCTAATAGTATTTACTTTTTAAATTATCTATTTGCAGAATTGCTCATTCTGTTCGCTGTGGTACGAGTGCGCACATCCAGAAGTCCCAACCAAAAGCTACAGGGAACATAACAGAGCCAGGCTTGAAATTTTTCTTAGTGCGCATCTCCCCTCAAAACCTTTGCAGTAGCCTTAGCAGGCTCCTCGTCTGCCTTTCTTTAATCGATGTTCATACCATTCTTTATTCTCATCTAGATGTGTGATCTAGAAATAATTAGCCAGCATACCTTTAAGTTTCAAATTCCAAGCTTTGCCTACTAGGTTTGCGCATAACTTCTCCAAGATGGAGTTTCCTCCCTTGTGAACTTGGGATACTGAGAGTAACTTCTTTTGGTACTATTACAGATTCAGTGAGGTAACGCATGCACGTTTTCAACTTAGTTCTTGGTGCACGGGAAGTATTCTCTAACGATGATGGTTACATCACTTTCCTTATTTAAATTACTCTCTTTTGCTGCGCATGTGAAATAGTCCAGCTCCTTATCATGGTACTCACCTCCCAGATGGTGTCTTCTGTCACTCTTCCCACTGGCTAGACTACTCACAGACTATACACTTTCAAGCTCTCCCATCTTACCCATGTTGTTGCCTCTACCAATACCTTTCCCTATGCTGCCTGCAGAACATTGGTCCTCTCCTGTTTGCCACATGTCACAGTCCATAGGCCATCTCAAAATATGCTG